CCTGCAAAGAGTGCATTTTTTTCTGCTTTAAATAATTTAAATATTTATCTGGTAGTCTAATCATGAGGGAGCCTTCCCTGGCTACTCTGCAACTATCAGAAAGCTTAGAGAAAACGCTAGCTGCAGCTTCAGTCTTCTGGCTAACAACCAGCAAGCCCTAAAAATATGGTTACAGTTGCATGGGGAATTTTTTGGAAAAATCTGTATGAAAGAAACCATTTCACTGAGTTCACTTGGGAATTAGCTGATAAAATATTAAACAAAACATAATAATTGAATGTTTACCACTTAGCCTTTAGCAAAAGACTAAAAGTAATCTCCCAGTACCTGAGTTCACTGCTTTGCTATCACTAACAAGCTTGGGTTTACATGTCTTAAGCTCCATTTTAAGATTAATTTATTTAATTACTTCCACTATTTTTATTAGAAATGTTTAAAAAAGCCTTCTTTCCTATTGTTTACCTGCATGATGCGAGGAGAATTATAAACCCTTTTTCAGCACTTACTTACATTAACTTACATTAACATAGGGCACTTTGTGTTCAGTGTACTGCCAGCAAATTAAGTTGACTCAAGTGTGGAGGGGTTTTGCAAAGATCGGAATATGAAGGCTGTAGCAGCACAGAGGAATGCAAAAGGGAAGGGGTGACTCATGTATGTTTGGGAAGTGAAAAAGAGTTTGCATTTGGATTGAGAACTAGCTAAATGAAGAGAGATGGTGAAATGTAGGGAAGGCCAGACAATCTGAGAATGGGAGAACAGTGAGAATGAGGGGTCTACTCTGGCCCTTTGCCCAACACTGAGTCCTGAGTCAGAACTCAGGACAATTGCACATGTTTGTGGATGTTGGTCAGTAGTTTAGTCATTTGAAGAGTTCCTGTAAGTTACTCCTTCAGTTACAGATTCCAAGGTATTAGTCACATATGGAAAATTCATGTTTGCATTTTCCACAAGACTTAGATTGGACTGACAAAGTTCAGTTTCTTATAGGAATGGCTTTTAAAATGTAATACCATTTTGTAGCTAAAATAACATGCATCTATGATTCATATAGTATTTTTTTTTAATGGAGTAGAGCCTTAGGAAAATCAGAGGAGGACAAGGCATCAAGAGGACATCTGGTCCAGCCTCCTGTTCAAAGCAGGATAAACCTCAAAGTTAAGCCGAGTTGCTCAAGGCTTTGCCCAGTTGAGTTTTGAAAATATCCAAGGATGGAGATTGTCTGGCTCTTATCCTGCACTTTTTGAAAGAGTCTGTATGTGTCTTCTCCCCCTTTAATTAGTGGAAGACTCTGATTGGATTCCTCCTTGGCTTTCTCTTTTTCCATGTTATGCAAACCCAGTTCCCTGCATCTCTTTTCATATGCTACGTGCTCCAGCCCCCAAACTATCTTCGTGGTTCTTTGGTTCTATTCTAGTTTTTCAGTACCTTGTTCCAGGGTGTCGAAAAGTGGACACAGTATTCCCAGTTTGACCTCATGAGTACTGAATAAAAGTGGATAATCATTTCACTTGACCTACTGGTTTTGCTTTTAGCTGAAGTGTACCTTAATAGTGTAGTAGTTAATCTAATACACAGTTCATATCGTCTCTCTTTTTCTGTGTGCACACAGACAGTACCATACCATAGCAAAATGTCTAATAATAAAAATGGAGGGACATCTGAAGACATTCCAGTCTGTTAAAAAGGAACTGATAAATTAATTAGGAACTGAAAAGGTTTAGGGCTGTGCATATAATCAGCATTGCTTTGTAGAATTCGAATTCCATCTGAAGCTTATGGTATAATTTAAAATACCACTTTTTATCAACAAGATTTTTGTACCATTGTATGTGGTATAAAGATCCTTTTTTGTTTGTATTATTTTGTTTATATGAAGGCTTTAGGAGATCAGAATTGTGCTACATTAATGTGGGTTCATGAAATACATGCTTTTCAAATTATGTTCGGAAAACATATTCCATAAAACAGATAGTGGACACAAAGAATGCAACAATTTTCATACATTTTGAAGGTTTCATTCTCTCACTGCATTTTGCAAATCTCCCTAATGTTGGCATTTGCTGATCACCATAGTCAAAATCATTCTAAAATGTGTTATTGTGTAATTACTTTTTTTTTATTTATTTATTCATGGAAAGTCAGACACATGAAACTTTCCCCACAGTCATTCTGTGGAGTAGTGGTGCAGCTTGTCACTAATACACCTCATTTCCCTAATCTTTTGAACAATCGTCATATTTTTCCCCATAGCACATCACAACTATCCACTTTGCTGCATTTCTAAAAGTATTTTACTGGTGTTTACTCCTGTTTGTTTCCCAGCCATGAATATCTTTCAGTCCATGGCCTGAATCAATACATTTAATTGTTTGGGTTAAATTTTTTGCTTCTGGATTACTGTTCTTGGTTTGTTATTCTCCCCTCCTGCAGAAGCATGCTGGGAAGATCCTAACTTTACCATTGTACTAACAGAAAAAATTAAGATTGAGAGATAGGTGGATCAAAGACATAAGATTTTACCAAGAAAACAGAACATTTGAAATTGAATGGACTCATAAAATGAATTACTTCTTTCTGAAAATAGAGACAAACAAGAGTTCAGATTTTGGGCAACAGGCATCTGTGTACCCATAGATCGGATAATATTTGCCTTGTTCACTTTCAGCTTAACTGCATGAAACTTTAAAGCAGCAAGAAAGCTCGTAGAAACTAATATGGAAGAGAAAGCTATTGCATTAGTCACCAAGACATTCCATGCTGCTAGCAGTCGTTCAGTCTTGTGGTTATATTGCATTTTGGTTAATGTATTTTTATAAACTTCATTTGAAAACTGTGTGCTTACAATAAAAATATTTTAATTGATAAGTTATAAATAATTCAGATTCATTTTTATATGTAGAGGATAATTTCAACAAAATCAGGAAAAAAAAATTAAAAATTTAGCAGTTGTCCAAAATGAATTGACAGGCTAAATATCTAGGAATTCAGAGTAAGAATCAGTGAAGATTCTTGTGACCTCATTATATCTTATGTACAAAACTGCAGAGCCAGTCACTTTGGAATTGTATTCCAGTGCCTCAAGGACAAGCGTGAAGAATGATGTGTCATGGTTTCATTTACTTTTCAAAAAATTTAGATCTGGCTTTCATATCTCTGTATTACTAGTTTAATAAGTTTCTCAGGAAGGACTTTTTGTCCGGTTTTATGAAGCTAGAGGAATTATTCAGAATCAGAAGGGTTGATTTCTATTTTTTAATCTTAGAACTGGAAAATTCTTTGTTGTTTACAGTGTTCTTAGAATTCGCATCCATGTGAAATCATTGCAACTAATTCTAAAACTTGTGCAATTTTTTTTTCCACAAGAATTCCAGCCGTTAACTTAATTAGCTCTAAGGTTTCTAGAGCTGCAGAATTAAATACATTATTGCAGTATTTCCTTCACTGGGTCCTTAATAGTCTGAACTAATAATGTTACTTACTGCTTCAGTAGTTTATCATTTTAAGTAAAAGAGCAATATGATGAACATCTTTGTTTAACAGATTAAGCTGGTTTGAAGCACAATATTGATTGGTATGTGATCATTATCAACCATTATCTGGAGGGGAAAAAAATAATCAATTGGCTTCCTTATTAAGTCCTACTTCTGCCTTTCCAAAAATGACGTATAGCTCTCTAAATGCTAGAAGTTATGTAAAAGGTGTCTAAATTGAAAAATATTAGGAATTAATATTTACTGTTAATTCCATAAGCCTAAATTGGAGAATGTTTAAATATGGAAGCCATTGCACAGAGCTGTTGGTATCATGACAGTACACGTTTGGTGTGTGTAGGTATGTGTACTGTACCTTTCTTTGATCTTTTATTTGTCGATATTACAAAAATATTGTAGTATTCTAGTATTATATACCTCCTAACTCTTGATAAAACTAATTTTCCCATGGTGTAGAAATCATGTTTAATTAAATTATATTGACAAGATCTGTGGCAATGATTTGGTGAGTATTTTTAATCTAGGATTTAAAGAAAAAAGGAAGCACTACAAAGATAACTATTTAGTTTTTAGCTTAAGATTCATGGGGAATTATATCAAGGACAAAAACACCCTTGTTTTCAGTTTTCTTTATAGAAGTTAATTTAACCATAAGCAAAGGATAATGGGCACTGAAGAGACCATTCATTTTAGCACTGTTTTGAGCAAAGTGGACAGTATCCAGAAGGAGTTCAAAGAGCTTTTTGTAGGTTGAAATGAAAGCTTATCTAAAAAAAAAAAACCACCAAAAAAAAAACCAACTCAAAAAAACCTCAGCTCAGTAATCCTGTTTTTACTTGTTCATCTCGCACAGCTGTAGTGAAAAGGAGTTTCTGTAAAGTGTTTATCAACTCCAAAACATTTCTTTTTATTCTAAGCTATTCCTGAGTAGTTTCTTTTTTTTTTATTGTTCTTGTAACGTGATGGTCAGGTGTGGCATATAGGGAGTTCGGGGAGCTTTAGGATATAAGGAGCTTTTGCATAATGCATATTGTTGTCAATATTGTGTTTCTTTTATATTTTACATGTAGTTTTTTGTGTAGATTTTTGAATGGCTATGAAGATCTGTGTCTTTGGTATTGTTAATGTTTTCAGCTTAAGTTTTGCCTTTGTAACTGCTTTTTTAAGGCATTCCCAATAGAGAATGTCCTGTTGAACTCAGAGTCCAAAGTAATCCATTTAATTGGGGTGATGATCATTTTACTTCCAAGAAGGGCTGAATGTACTTTTTGAGATTTGCTGGATCAAAATCTCTTTGTCTGAATCCTTCTTAGACTTGTTTTCAGTCATACTGATTCTTATTAGTCCTAAAGTATTGTATCGCAGCCTAATTACCAATGATTTTGACATGTTGCTAGCAAAAGATGTCTCTCCTCGCTTGCAGACTTATATGAGTAGCCTTTGTTCCTATTAGCCTTGGGCTGAATTCTGATCTTCAGACAACTTAAAGCTGCCCCATGTTCCCAGGGTCTGGTCATCAGGGGCAACCTGAGTCATCCTGATACCTGATGAAAGTACAATCCAGAAGAGCTCAAGCAATCTAGAAGATTTCTTGAGTGCATTGATGAGCTTCCTGGCACAGATGATGGAATAGCCAACAACGGAAGGTGCTTTGCTGTACCTGATGCTTAGGAAGAATAAAGAACTGGTCACGGACATGAAAGTTAAAGAAAGCCTTCGTTACAGTGACCATGAGATGATGGAGATCAAGACCTTAAGAAAAGGGAGCGGGAAAAAGTCAGGACTACAGTCCTGGATTTCATGAGAGCAGGCTTCATCCTCCTCAGAGGTCTGCTTGGAAGAATCCCATGGGTTATGGCCTTGAAGAGAGGAGGGGTCCAGGAGAGCTGGCTGATACTCAGTGATCACTTCCTCCAAGATCAAGAAAGGAGCATCCCAACAAGTAGGAAATCAAGCAAAGGTGGCAGACACGGATGAGCAAGAAGGTCCTAACTAAACTCAGACATAAAAACAAAGCGTACAATAGGTGGAAGCAGGAGCAGGTGACCCAGGAGGAGTATAGAGCTCCTGTGCAGTCTTGCAGAGATGAAGTCAGGAAAGCAAAAGCCAGCCTAGAGTTGAATCTGGAGAAGGATGTAAAGGGCAACAACAAAGGATTCTACAAGTATATAAACAAAAGAAACAGTAGGGAAGACATGGACCTGCTACTGAAAGGGGCAGGAGAGCTGGTGACAAATGACATGGAAAAGGCTGAGATGCTTAACACTGCCTTTGTCTCAGTCTTTAAATGTTTTTTTGGTAAAAATGCCCTTCAGGAATCCCATAATGCCTGATGTGTCGCACCCGAGTGCTGATGGAGCTGGCTAATGCCACTGTGAGGTGATTCTGGGTCATTTTTAAATTATCATGGTGATTGCAAGAGGTTGGCAGAGCAGATGTTATTTTTCAGGAAGGGCAAGAAGAAACCTCTGGGGAACTACAGGCTAGTTGGCCTCAGCCCAGTCCCTCAGGAGGTGATGGAAGAAATCTTCCACGAAAGGATTTTCAAAGTCGTGAAGGACAAGTAGGTGATCATGAGTAGTCAGCATGAATTTACAAAGGGGAGCTTATGATTGACCAACCTGGTAGCCTTCTGCAATGGGGTGACTAGCTTGGTGGACAAGTGGAAACCTGTGGATGTTGTTTACCTCAACTTCAGTAATGCCTTTGACGCTGTCTTCCATAACATCATCATAGACAAGCTGACAAAGTATGGATTAGATAAGTAGACAGTGAGATAGATTGCAAACCAGCTGAATGACCAGGCCCAGAGGGCTGGAATCAGTGTCACAAAGTCCAGTTGGAAGCAAGTCACTAGAGGTGTACACCAGTGGTCAGTGCTGAGGCCAATAGTATTTAAAATCTTCCTTAATGACCTAAATAATGGGACAGGGGTCACAGATGGTACAAATCTGAGAAATGGCTGGTACACCACATGGTTGGGCCACCACGCAGAGGAACCTCAACAGGTTGGGGAATTCTCATGAAGCTGAATGAGGCCAAAGGCAAACACGCATCTGGGGAGGGATAACCCATGCACCAGCCCATGCTGGGGACTGACGGGTTGTAAAGCACCTTGGCAGAGGACTTCGAGGTGCTGGTGGCCAAGCTGAACATGAGCCAGCAATGCACCCTTGTGGCAAAAAAGGCCAACAGCATCCTGGGCTGCATCAAGAGCAGACCAAGGGAGGTGAGCCTTCCTCTCTGCACTGCTGAGGCTGTGTCTGCCGTACTGTGTCCAGTTCCCCAGTACAAGAGAGACATGAGCATACTGGAGCAAGTCCAGTGCAGGTCCACAGAGATGATTAAGGAACTGGGACATTTCTCATACGAGGAGAGAGTGAGAGAGCTGGGACTACTCAGCCTAGAGAAGAGAAGGCTCAGGGTTGATCTTACTAATGTGTACAAATAAAGGGTGAGAGGGAATGAAGATGAAGGAGCAGTGCTCTTCCCAGTGGTACCTGCTGGAAGGAAAAAAGACAATGGTACATGAAATTCCATCTGAACACAAGAAAAGTTTTTAGTGTGAGGGTGGTCAAACATTGAAACAGGTTGCCCAGAGAGGCTTTGGAGTCTCCATTTCTGGAGATAACTCTAAAGCCCAACTGGACGTGACCTTGCTTGAGCAGGGGAATTGGACCAGAAAACTCAGTAGATTCCTTCCAATTTAACTGATTCTATGATTTTCCAACTCTTGCTCCAACCTGCAGCATCCTGTGTAATCACTGTGCTTATAAAGTAGCTTGGGCCAAGCTCAGCTTTTGTGATTGTTTATTTACTTACTTATTTTGGAATCTACAGGTAATGATTTGGATTTAGTTACAGAATATATCCATGTAATACTAGTAATAAACATTTTAGGATGCGGACTTTTTTGATTGTTTAAAAAGTTATCAATATACGTGTTTGTCTTACCTAAAAGGTCTTCAGAAGACAAAGTCATGACTTCTTCAGATATTCCAGTAAATGCTGCTGTTTTAGCCTACCCCTTCTACATGTAACACATAACATTTGTACTTATTTTTAATTTACAGGATGGAGGGCTGCTTCTAAATAACCCTTCTGCGCTGGCAGTTCATGAGTGCAAGTGTCTCTGGCCCAGCGTGCCGCTGCAGTGTCTGGTATCGCTGGGCACTGGGCGATACGAGAGTGAGGGAAAGACCAACGTCACGTACACCAGTTTGAAAGCCAAGCTCACAAATGTCATCAGCAGCGCAACTGACACAGAAGGTTGGTCTCTTTTAGTTCTTTTCTGTGTTTTTAACATGTGCTTTTCCAAGGACTAGACTGTGTCTGTCACTGGTCAGGACTCCCATCGCCGTCAGGAGGAACCAAGCATGTGTTTTCCAAACTAAACTCTGTTCCTAGATGGGAGTGCACTGGAGCTCTACCACTAGCAGTTTATATCTGTTTTGTTTTTATAAACAGGAAATATTGATACGCAGATGTTTGGTTTTTTACTCTTATAAAGGGAACTGCTAATGTAAAAAGCTAGGGGTCAAGAAATACTCTTACAGTCTAGATCCCTTGCTGCCTGATCTGTCAACTATCTTTAGTAAGAAAAAGCTGGATTGTGGGCCACCTTTGGTTTTTGCACAATCACGGAAAGGTAGTGGGAAGGAGAGACATCTGTTAAGGGAAAAATGTTTCATTGCAGCAGAAAAATCAGGCAAGAAATTTGACTGGGGAAAAGGAGGAAAGTTTATTGTGGAGACCAAAGGAGAGGAAATGGAAAGAGCAGAGAGTAGATTTGAGCAAATGGGAAGTTATATTCTGAAGTGAAAAGAAGAGAATATTAAATAGGGCAAGAAAGACTGGATGTGGTGAGACAAGAACAGAGACATTAGAGGAATTTACTGGAGGAGGGACCAAGCAGAGAGGATTTCAAGTTAACAAGAATCTTTTGCTGTGGTCTTACCCATGATGGTTTTTTCACTTTAAATTTTTTATATAACAGTAAAAGAAGGAGGAAGCGTGGTAAGAATGCAAAGAAAATTGAAATGAAAGAGAATGAGAGATGAAAGAAATAATGGAAATGGAATTTTAAGGAAGCCAACAAATAGAAATCTAAAAGGAGAGAGAAAATTGTTTATAAAAGAGAGGAAAAAAGAGAGAGAGGAACCTAAAATACGTTATGTAGCCAGTTTGTCACTGTACTAGTTAACTGAACTGTTACAATTTAACATGAACATTTTAAATTAAATGCACGTTAATTTCAAACCAAAAAAGTGTAGTAATACGTAAAAAATGAATTAGTTGCACACAAAAGAAAGCTTTCAACCTACATCTCTTTTACTGCAGTCCTTGAGATTAGAGCAGAATATATATCTATTGGTTTCATAATGCCTACTGCTGTTAGGACTGAGTGTAACAAATCATGGATAACTGGAATTGTTATGTACAGTATGTACATAACAATAAAAGTATGTATAGTAATAAAAGTAATAGTAGTAAAAGTTTTATTTTTTTACTTTTATAATAAATAAGAGTAAATATTATTTTATTACTTTTTTAGTAATAAAAATATGTACAGTACATTCCTGCTCTTCAGAATGCACTCTCATTTGCAACAGAATGGAATGTACATGTAATTACAAATCTGAATAGCTGTAAAACCTTCTTAATTGCCATACCAGTGGAGTTTTCTTAGAATAAAAGATAGAGCTTTTCCGGGATAAACAGAGCTACAGGGTCATTAGCAAACCTTCTAGTGAGAAAGGGGTTTGGGTAAGGCAGTGGTGGAGGAACATCTGCTCAGCAATGCTGCACAGTCACACTTCCTCTGTGGCTCCAGAGCACTTGTTGTTCAGAGCCTGACAGACTGTTTATCTCATGTAAATATTAACAGTTTCTTTCATTTGTTTCCAATGCAGAAGTTCACACCATGCTGGATGCGCTCTTACCTCCAGACACGTACTTCAGATTTAACCCTCTGATGAATGAGGACATTCCTCTGGATGAAAGTCGCAAAGAGAAGCTCAACCAGCTGCAGACGGATGGGATTCGCTATTTAGAACGAAATGAAGAAAAACTGCGAAAAGCTGCAAAAATATTAACACAAGAAAAAACAACTTTGCAGAGACTTCAGGACTGGATGAGATTAAAGGCTGACATGTATGAAGGCCTTCCATTTCTTTCCAAATTGTGAATATGTAATGCATGAAAGATCATAAATATAAATCTTGTACCAGAAAATCCATTTAGTACTGTAAAGCAGGAGTGTTTATTGGGAGTAAATGACATCTTTGCAAAGCTGTCAGAATTCAGAGAAGGCAATTCAGGGTGGCTGTTTTGTGCACACTTACTTGATACAAGGTTTTATGGTGTTACTTATTTTTTGAACTTTAGGGATCTTACTGTTGCTCTACTTTGTTAAAGTCAGTAAAATTGAAAATTATGAAAACAATTGTGTTACACATTTTTGGATGTATGTACCATAATTATGGTGGCAGTAAAACTTTATTTATCAACTATCAGACTTATTGAAAATTAACAAAAAATAAAATCCTCATTCACTTCAGTGTAGGCAATATACCTGTTATGCTCCTCCATAGCCAGTGAATTTCATAGAAATCCAATGTTCTTACAAAAATGTTGCCTGTGTTAATTGCACTTTTACATTTGAGAGATAACATTTAAATTCTTTTTTTTTTTATTTTCAGTGGGTTTTGTACATAACAGTGTTTGGATGACTACAAATGGCATATTAAATTATCAAAATTAACTGGTTTTAAGGACTTGCTGCTTATTGTTTTCATCGAGATAACTTCAGATTGGTTCATTCATTATTTGAAAATAATCCCATGCCCCAGAACTTTGCTTTAGCAGCTGTTCCTGTCACAGGATAAAGAAAATAAAATATTGAAATAGTTCTAAGTGAATCAGGAGCTCACTATAAAAGCTTCAGGTTTGGATGCCAAACTCTGGGTGTCTCTAGTCAAGAAAAAATTAGCGGTTGATACCTGAAATAATAAATTATGCATTTGCTTTTGTCTTTTAACTTTCATATATGCATCCTCTTGAAATTACTTTAGAGTTGTGGAGTTACATTTAGAGCTTACTACAGATCTTACTAGTCCTTCCTTGGCACCTTTCTGCTGGTGTGGAGGAGGGTGGTGTGGTGAGCGGGGACGGTGCAGCACGGCAAGGAAACGGCATTTTCCACACCAGGGAGGCACACGTGAGCTCTTCAGAGCAGAGTGACTGCAGCCACCTTGGAGTTGGATGCAGCGGCTGTGCCACACCGGGCAGGTACACATTAATAAGGGTGCTTGACGGGTTTCTGGGTGAGTTTTTGCCTCTTGGACTGTTACAGTACATAAAAATTTCTACTAGATAAAATGTATGTTTTATACAGTAGATAAAATGTCCAGTTTTGCCAAAAACCAGTGCATTTGTCACTCTGCCTTTCAGGACTGATCACCTGTCATTGCATTATCTACTAAAAATAACATTTACTTCGATAGCCACCTTCTGTACTTGTCATCTTGAAACATTGGGAATGTTTTTAGGCTGCCTTTAGGAAAGGAGCTTTGAGGAAGACAGCTGAGATCCTTCATTGCCTTAGCAGTGGCTACATAGTATTCTGTGACTCTGCAAGAAAATACTTGATTTGGGCTGTTCTTTGTTTAATCTGATTTATTTTTGCCTGTGTCATTTTACTCGGCTGTCCAGACTTTTCTGGTGCTCCCTCAATTCTCTGGCTTGTTTTTGCCGTTGAAGCTCGTAAGTGTCATCGGTACCTAAGCTGTAGCCTTCACATGTTTTAAATTGTTCCCAATGCAAACAAATCTGTGGTGTGTAAGGAGTAAAGAAGCCTTTGTCAGTCAGTATGTGAGGGAGGGAGAAAATGAGAAACAGAGGAAAAAAAAAAGTGTTTAAAAGCTAGAGGAATTTAAAGATCAGTGAACAAATGTGTGTTGTTCAATCCCCATCCACCCCTTTCTTTTTGTTTATTAAACTATGAACACCAAAAGCAGTTACTTGAATAGGGCAATAAAAATACTAAAAAGGAAAGTGTTATGGTCTTAGTGCAACTGCACTTGATACAACTCCCCTTCTTCCTTCCAGTTACTAAGAACTGAGTCAAAGAATGACAAGACCAAGCATTTCCCATTGATGTGAGATAGTTTATAAACATACACAAAATAAATGTCAACTTTGTTCTCACCAAGGTATCTTGTCTACGGTGAAGGTGTGTTGCCAGCATCCTAAATCAAAATAGACGACACAGGAGAGTCTCGTGTAACAACATAAATAACACACCTCTTCCCCTGGCAAAGAGCAAAGCGATGGCAGCATCTATCAGGCTATCAAAGGCATTATTCTGAATTCCTAAGTTTCCAGTCATAGCTCTTTGGGTTAAGCATTTATTTAAGACAATGCTTACTTGTCGTGAACAAAGCGATAACATTTCCACCTAATTTTTGTATAAATAAAACCTGTGAGTTACTAATTTTCAGACAGTGGGGTAAGTGTACACACTGACCTGGGCTTTGCAGGTGGAACGCTGTTTCTGTTTGCTGTGATGCAAGAATTTCTCATCATTGAGAAGTTCTCGTACTCTGCACTCTTCTCGTGGATAAACGTGACATTATACTCGGAGTTGATTAGAGGATGCAAACCAGGAAAGCTACCTGTCTTTTGCATGAGTGTGGAATATCTCAAATTAGCTTTATTTAAATATGAGGGCTTTTTCTAGTTCTTCGTGAGCTGCCTGAAAAGCTTCCACTACAGCTCTGTTGAAAAAACAGTCATTTTGTATAGAGCCTTGGCTTTTCTAATCCACCTTCCAGGCTACATTAATCATACTCCAGGCTGATGAGTGCAACTATTTGGCTGCCTTTTTAGATCCCATATTTAAGAAATTACAGTATGTTTGCAAAGCCATCTGCGTTGTCTCCTCGTTACTCGAGGTGGCCTTTCCAAGTGGATACACATAAATGCATTTAGCCAGCTCGCAGGAGTGAAGGCAAGTGCTGCTTTGCCTCCTTAGAAGGGTACCTGCAAA